GCCACCGGGCCGGCCCTGACAGTTATTTTTCTATTTATCACAGTTGGAGCACAATAAACAACTTTATTGTAGTTTTTTCCCCCATATTTAAGGTTGTTTTCTTAGATTAGATATGGAGAAGTAGAGTTACTGGATCAAAAACTCAGTTTTAGTTATTGATGCAGAGTATTACCAAAATGCTTTCTACAAAGATTATACTAGTTTACAATCTCACCATAGTATCTGAGAATTCTAGTTTCCCTTTACTGTCATCAGGATTAGGTAATATGTAATTTATATGAGATTTAGCTACTTTAATAGTTCTTTATTTTAATTTGCAGTGGGACATTATTAATATTCTTATAATTTTATGTTTACTAATTTATTTTGTAAATTGCCTATTCATGCTTATTTTTCCTGTTTTTTAAAAACAGTTATTTATCTAATAAGGGTATTAACTGTATATTTCATATTTCTTTCAGATTTTTTTCCCCAGTTTCTTATTTGCTATTTATTCTCAGCGTACTTAGAATTCACTTTTATGTGAATAAACTGTTGAACTTTTTCTTTTTTCTTTGTGTTCTAAATTTATAAGATTTCTGTTTTTCAAGTTCATTCTATTTTCTTGTTTGTCTCTTTTTAATCTTATTTATTTGATTTTCTTAATTTTGTCTATTTTTAGTCTACTATTTTGGTGTTATGGTATAAGGCAGCCTTTCTCAATTGTGAGAGAATTAAGCTCTAAATGCCTAAGGCACATAATGTTTAATGTGAATTAACTTTTTGTCTGGAATGGTACTGGGTATATATCATCCTTGGGAGATTGAGAAATTAGTAACGCAAATCATTTTTCTGTGATCTGAGATTGAGATGAAGAATCCCAGCTAAGAAAAGTTGTTAAAGCTCTATATAAACCTTTTTCAAAATTGTTAGCAAATTGTCCCATCAATCGAATACTCCTACATATAATTATTGTGAGGATTAAGTGATGTAATGGACATAAAGTATTTAGTGTGGTGCTTGGCATATACTAAGCAAAGTAAATGTTACTGTGATTAATTTTTCTTATTAAATTTTTCTAATTGGCATATTTGAGAATTTTTGTTTTGGGGCTGGCACTAATTTAACAATATATGAGGGTACTTCAGAAAGTTCATGGAAAAATAGAATTAAAAGATAATAAGACTGTTTCCACAAACTTTTTGAAAATTCCTCGTAGACGCTAGGAATGGTGGAAGTCATGGATTAGTTTTTTACCCTTTTATTTTTTCAGATATTAAAATTTTTTTTCTGACTTATTTATTCTTCCAGGTGAATTTAAGAATTATTTTTTCTTTTTTTTTTAAAATGACCGGTAAGGGGATCTTAACCCTTGACTTGGTGTTGTCAGCACCACACTCACCCAGTGAGCCAACCGGCCATCCCTATATGGGATCCGAACCTGTGGCCTTGGTGTTATCAGCACCACACTATCCCGAGTGAGCCATGGGCCAGCCCCGAAGAATTATTTTTTCAAGTTCCAAGAAGAATCCTAGTGGGATTTTTATTGGAATTACATTAAGCCCCATACATTTTAGAAAAAATGGTATGTTTGCAATATTTAGTTTTCCCACCAGGGAAGATAGTTTTTCTACTTACTCAAATTTTCTCTTTTATTGTTTTATAGAGTTTAATAATGCTTCTTCACATTTGGCCAAAATTATCTTATTCCTAGATAGTTTATATGTTTATCACTATTATTTTTCCCCATTATATTTTCTGTGGTTATTGGTGATATTTCAAAGTACTCTTGATTTTTTTTTTAATGCATATTCTTTATGAGGTTACAAGACTGCACTCTAACCAACCGAGCTGACCGGCCAGCCCATGCATGTTCTTTATGAATAGCACCTTTTCTCTTTTCAGCATTAATATTTCTGTTTTATATTTTTCACTTTGATAGAACATTTGAAACAGTGCTAAGTTACTGATATGTGGCATTCTTGTTTTGTTTATTTTAGTAGGGTTGTCCTTCATGTCTTGTTTTAAGTATACTGTTGATTATCGGTTCAAAATATACAATACTTCTTTTCAACTCTTTAGAGAACTATTAAAGGAATATACGGTCATTAAAAAAAGCTGTAAAAAAAAAGTATAACTGTAGGAAGTATCAGTGTATTTGTACTTTGTAAGATTTCTCAAATTATCATATCACTTTTTATTTTGAAATGATAAAATCTAACCTATGTAGTCTGTTAACGTATTATATTATTCTAATAGATATTCTAACATTAAAACATTCATGGGATAAATTCTACTTTTTCGTGGATGAGAATTCTTTCAATATTATGCTGTAGTGAATGGATGAGTTAGGATCTTAGAATAAAAACAAGTTGGATTTTTGTTCTTGGCAAAATTGTCTAATTCTTTTGAATATTAGTGTTTTTGTTTGTAGTCTAATGGCTTTTCCCTGCCCTTGAATTTTAAATAAAATTATCTCAAGCTCTCCCCCCCCCCTTTTTTTTTTAGCAGCTGGTCAGTACAGGGATCCAAACCCTTGACCTGGTGCCTGGTGTTATCAGCACTATGTCAACCTCTCCTCTTTTACCTAGTCCCCCTTCAACCTGTACAGTTCCATACCTAGAGGAAATCCAAAGTCCTACTTAGGTTAATAATAATATGCCTATAGCAGCTAAATCAATTTGTTTGTGATGCGTGGTTGACAGTGCCTCTTTTCATTTCATAAAAATCAGTGTTTCAGTACTGGCTATCCATCAACAAACAAACCACACTAATCAGCGTTTCAGTGATAACTTTATATTACTAAGTTTCATGGAATGATTTAAAAATTAAGGTTTGTTTTTATGTGTTAAAAACTTAGTTTTTACTTGTTTTGCAGAAAATTAATTGTTAAAGCAGTATGGCCACAGGAGGAGGTCCTTTTGAAGAAGGTATGAATGATCAGGATTTACAAAACTGGGGCACTGAGAGTGTTGATGATCGACTCAACAATATGGTATGATATTTTAGTATTGATGGTGTTTTGTTGACTACTAATGTTAAAATGCAACTTTACTCTGACCACATCTAACTTACTAACTCTTCGTTAACACTTGCAGTCCAAGATATTAAGGGATCTTGGGCTATTTATTATAGTAGTTGAACACACTCGTTGCAGGTTACAGAAATTAATTTGAGTTAGCTGAAACCAAAAAGGAGATTTATAAGGATGTAAAGGTGTTTTATGGAAACCATATTAAAGATACACAGCTGGGTTTTAGGAGAGGACTGGGAAAAGGAACTAGAAAGTTGTCAAGAATTTCCTTTTTACTATGCTGACTCTGCTTCTTAGTGCCTCTGCTTAACACTACTTTTTTTAAATAGACCAGCTTTCTCTTTTCTTTTTCACATGGTATACTCTGGCTGCTCGCTCCATCATTGTAAAGTTTTTAGTCGTGGCTGCAATTATATACTGACTAGGTATCTCTTAGTCCCAATTTGAAATCTTAAAGTATTATCATTCCAATTTGGATTAGATACACATTTCTTTTCCAGTCATCTTTGGCCAGGAATGGGTGGGCTAAGTAGTACAACAGGTTGGTAGGAAACCCACACATAGCTTGGGGTGGAGGAGCAGTTTATAGAGAAGGGAGTTTTGTTATAAATGAGGAAAATATCCCAAGTAGTTTTACTATAGTAGTAACTAAAAGATACTTCCACTATAGATAAGGTGGGAATTTTAGACCTTTTTGTTGCATGAAGTAGGTTATGTAAGTATAACTAAGTAAATAAAAGTGTTTTCTAGTTAAAACATTAAACATCTAAAAAACTTTTTGTCATTCCATATCAGATATTATCATGTGGTATATTTTTGCCTATAAAGGTAATAATAGCTATATTTATTGCTTTCTAAGTGCTAGGTATTGTACTATTTTATGTGTGTTATTTTTTAAATTTAAAAAATTCTTTTTCTCACCACTGCATGTTTTTGCACTATTTATATTATATTTAATCCTATTTTAAAGGTGACACTATTTTAGAGATTAGGAAACAGAGACTATGGGAAATTAAATATATTGCCTAGGGTCACAGAGTGGAGCATTTCTTCAGACCAGTAATTACTTTAAAAACTAGGTCAATTTATCTTTTTCTTTATATTTAATCCTATTTTAAAGGTGACACTATTTTAGAGATTAGGAAACAGAGACTATGGGAAATTAAATATATTGCCTAGGGTCACACAGTGGAGCATTTCTTCAGACCAGTAATTACTTTAAAAACTAGGTCAATTTATCTTTTTCTTTTTTCTTTTCTTTTCTTTTTTTTTTTTTTTTACCACATGTACAGACTTTAAAGGCCAGTAAAGGTATCTATAATTTATTTATCTGTTCAGTTTATAAGTAGAAAAGAAACAATTTTTAAAAATGCTTTTGAAAATATTCAGATTGACTCCAGGGTTGGGATTTAGGGATTTGTATTTGTTAATGAACTATGATAGGAAAATACAGTTGACCCTTGAACAGCACTGGTTTGAGCTGCTTGGGTCCATTCTATTTGCAGATTTTTCAACCAACCGCAGGTTGAAAATACAGTATTTGAGTGATAGGGAGGGCTGACTTTTCATATCTGTGGGTTTTGTAGGGCTGACTGCAGGACTTGAGTATCTGCAGATTTTGGTATATGTGGGGTACTGAAACCAATCTCCTGTGGATACTGAGGGATGACTAATATATTTTCTAAAGGATAGGCTGTGAAATTAGGATAGATAATGAGGAAAAAATGGGTTAATAGAAATAAAAAATTGTCTCTAAGAGTATATGTTTATGTGAAAAATATTTTGTCATTTTTAAGTCTGACCAAAGTTTTTTAAGCATACCAAATTATTTTCCTGGTTTGATAGAGGCCAGATTAACTTTTACTTTTACTTTTTTAAAGGATTGGGGTGGCCAACAGAAGAAGGCAAATAGATCATCAGAAAAGAATAAGAAAAAGTTTGTAGAGAGTGATAAAAGGGTAACTAATGATATTTCTCCGGAGTCATCACCAGGAGTTGGAAGGCGAAAAACAAAGACTCCACATACCTTTCCACACAGTAGATACATGACTCAGATGTCTGTCCCAGAGCAAGCAGAATTAGAGAAACTTAAACAGCGGATAAACTTCAGTGATTTAGATCAGGTTTGTGAATTATTTTAAAAATTAAGTTATGACTATGGGAAATACTTGAAGTGGATTAAATAATTTGTCTTAAGAATAAAAAATTGAACTGTTTATTTACTATTTTTTTTTTTCAGTTTCTGTGCATATGGAAAGAATTTTAATCAGTGGTGATAGTACTGTGTTCTTTGGAGGGAAACAAAGCCTTCTAAACTTGCTAAAGACAAGTTTTTCTGGACTCTCTTACTATGTTGTATGACTAACTTAAATGATTTCATTATGAAACTAAATTTTGAATTTTAGTAACTGAATAAAATTGCTATTAAGTGGAAAGACCCAGTTAAGTATAATTATCATTGGCTAAGTTTGGGGTGTGCTGGATTACCTCAATTTAGCATAAAATGTTTTGTACTTAAAATCACTGAAATAAAGTTTAGACCTAAAAGCAAGTAGAAATGATAAACTCTTGACAAATATTTTACTGTCATATCAGTACTTTACAGAGATAAGCAGGTTTCCAAATATGCATAAAGGTAGATTCAAGTCTGATACGGTGATAGTGATGATCATATATCATTTATATTTATTTCCTAATTATTGAACACTTACTGTATGCCAGGCACTGAGCTGAATACTTTTTCAGACAATGCTTCATGTAGACACATCTTTAGACTGATATGCTGATGTTCATATTGACATTGATTCATTGGTTCCAAAGCCTATAAAAATCCTATAAGGAAGTAACAAATGGCAGTATGAGTTATAAATGTGGTCCATAATCCTTATATTCCATTTAGACTAATCTTGTTCATATTCATCAGTTGAGTGGTCTCAGCAAAATGAAGACTTATGAAGTGCTAATTAAAGTTTGGTATTTTATTAAAAGAATTTTGTAGATCTGAAGCTCTTTCAAATCTTGCTACAAAGCAGTTTATGCATACCTCCTGAATCAGTGTCTGATGGTGAAACAAAGAACATAATTTTTAAAACAAATTGTTGAAAAGTTAATGTCTGTGTGATTTGATTTCTTTTTCACATATAGAGAAGCATTGGAAGTGATTCTCAAGGTAGAGCGACAGCTGCTAACAACAAACGTCAGCTTAGTGAAAACCGAAAGCCCTTCAACTTTTTGCCTATGCAGATTAATACTAACAAAAGCAAAGATGCTGCTACAAGTCCTCAAAAGAGAGAATTGAGTGGATCAGCACAATGTAAAGAGTTGCTTGCTTCTGCTTTAAGTAATGACCTCTTGCAAAACTGTCAAGTCTCTGAAGAAGATGGAAGAGGAGAACCTGCAATGGAGAGCAGCCAGGTAATAAAATTTCTTTTGCTTTTTGTTTTCACAAACCTCAGAGTATAAACACCAAGATTTAAAAAATTGTATTAGGTTACGCACATAGGAATTTTAGGTGGAATTAAAGTAATTCCCTGGTCCTCCTCATTAATCTAGTAGATTTATTTAAAACAAAATAAATTTCTTTTTATCCTAAATGATTGTAGAAATAGCATATTCAGGTTAATTAAGGCTTTTGTTTATATGCCAAATACTGCATTGCCAATTTTTAGTAAAGGGGGTTGGGAACAATATCATTAACAGTTGTTTGTAAGAATTTTTGTATTTTTTATTTTATTTTATTTATTTATTTTTTTAAAAGATGACCAGTAAAGTGATCTTAACCCTTGACTTTGTGTTGTCGGCACCACACTCTCCCAAGTGAGCTAACCGGCCATCCCTATATAGGGATCTGAACCTGGGGCCTTGGTGTTGTTGGCACCACACTTTCCCAAGTGAGCTACAGGCTGGCCCAGAATTTTTTTAAATAGTGATATTATTGTTTTGAAAAGTATTTTCAAAAGTATTTTTAATACTTTATAAATAAATGTTAACGTGAATATTAGAATGTTTACATGAATAAGTTTTGTGTGCAGTTTTGTTGTATAAATAAAATTTTTCAGATAATGTAGATTAAAATAATTTTGAAAGTTATTTTTGAATTGACAGCGATTGGAGATCTTAATATTGTCGATTATGTTTTGATTAAAATCTAGGTTGCATTCACATTTTTTGTGTGTATGAATTCACATAATACTAGAAGTATAATAAGTAAAATTGTTGCTATTGAATTATTCTCAATTTTAGATGTTGTGTACTTTCATGCAAATAAGTTTTACAACATTTCCCCTGCAGATTGTAAGCAGGCTTGTTCAAATTCGTGACTATATTACTA